TTGTTTTACATTATTAGTGTTTAGTGTATATCTTAGATCTTTATAAAATGTTTCTTTTATACTTTATATTTTTGATATTTTGGGGTGTAACTGGGACCCTGAGCACATAGTTTCATTCCACCTCATGTACCATGATGTGCGTGGCAATAAAGAACCTTGAACTTGTGTCCTTATCTGTAAATTGCATTTTGTCACTTTCTCTTGTTTTTATCAGCTCTGATTCTTTGTATTGTGTCTGTAACTCGAGCCAAGTCAAATTTATTTATAAAGCACATTTAAAAACAGCAGTTCCCAAAGTGCTGAACAGTAAAAATCAACAAGAGTAAACTCAGTCTGTTTTACAGATATTGATGTAATGTTTAGTGTGGTAGTAGCTGCAACTCATTTTTGTCATATATTTTGAGTGCTAGCAGGCTGCAGAAGGTTTTATGTTTAAAAATATGCCGTTAACTATTTGGAGTCAAATCTGTCTGTTAGCAAAATATCCCATGAACTACTGATTGGATTTAATGAAACATCCAGGAGGTATTCATAGGATGTTCATCTGAAATGCATTAACTTTTTGGAGCCAACATGATTTTAGAAAACACAACAATGAATAAAGGTCATTCAATTTTTTTATTATTTTTTTATTTTTTTATGAGTTTGTCTATCAATTTAGCTGGAATTCCTTGATATATAGAATTTTAGAAAATTATATAGGAAAACTTCTGCTGCTTTGATTTTGATGTATTATATATATTATTAAATATTATTATAGTGAAGGGATAATAAACTTGTGCTTCTACCTACACTGCCTACACTTTTTTCGGTCTACACTTTGTGGTTTTGTGTTCTTCATTTTTTACGAAACTGGTTTGATTCAGAATGTGTATGTAAATTTAGGGAAAGGACTGGATAAGCCATTGCTTCTTCCTGCTCCCTTTTCGAACATTTTTGTTTTGTTTCCAGAATATTTTGTTGGAAAAATTTACATTTTTATTAATTTGTGGTTTTGTTGAAATTTTTAACTGTTCGAAATGAAATAAAGAATTATTACTAGTATTAAATTTGACAAATATTGAGCTAAAATTGAATGTGGAAGTAGCTGAAAGTCATTCACATAATAAACTTTTAAGTGCTACGCAGAGTACAAGATCTTTGTTCAAAACTTTTGCATTAACCAATGGAGCCACCTTGTCTGTTAGCAAAATATATAATCAGTATATCATCAATATATCTCAAGTAATCAATAGTTGTACATCTGCAACAGTTCAATGCTTGAAGCCAACTTGATTCAAAATGGCTGTCACAGCAAATAAAATGAAGCAAGCCCACAAATGGCTTTAATCCATTTCAATTGGTGGAAGCTGAGAAATATTCATAACACATACTTTGAGTGTGACATCTTGTAATATTGCATGTGCTCATGCATGTTATTTTCAAAGTTTGACTAAAGCAGCTACAACTTTATGATATTTCAACATGTTTAAAACTTCTGGCCTAACAATTATGTTTTAGGTAGTTTACAACTACGACTGTGCAGGAGGCTCTATTTGCTCTAAAATATATTTATTTTCAGTCATAAACAATGGCTAACGAAGACATGAAGGCAGTTTATTGATGCAGGTGCTTCATGACACAGGAAGTGGCCTCCACTTGGTCGTGTTTTGTGCAGCACAGTGGGTTCTGCTCAGGCTGTGAGACACAGATGGCTCAGCTGTGGTCTAAACAGGTCGAGCCAACTTTTCTCCAGACATGGCTCATTTTAAACTCCATATGCAGCAGCGTCATTAGAATCTGAGTGGAGGAGAGGATTGTTTTTTTCTGCTTAACTTTCCTTCATAAGCAACTCTGTCCGTCTCAGGTTCAGTCAGTCGCCTTCTTTCTGCCTCAAATAATGATGAAGAAACAGACATTTTTTGTTGAGCCACATGCATCGCCGCCTACACCGCGTCTGATAATGGGGATGTTGAAATGATGAGAGTCAGAAAGGTGAAGGAACAGGTGATTAAATGTATTTCTAACAAGATCCTTTGCTGTGAGCTTTATGTACAGAGTTGGACATTTCAGCAGACAACAAGAGTCCTAACAGTTTTTTCTTGTCTTGACCAGGTACGGTTTTCCCTCCATGGGGATCCTCCTGGGCTGATGTATGAGATTAGAGTGCATTTGTGGCTCTCAGATGGAATATGGTTGGCTAATAGCAGGATCTAGTGATAAATGAAAAGTGGTGCATCAGTCAGACATGGCTGAACTTTAAAGATATGAAGCATCCAGTGGACCAGGGAGACATTCAGAGGATGATTTATTTCTGGCGTCTCTGTAAGCTAGCTCATCAGGTTCTGTCTTGGCCTGTTTTTCTCCAATTTAGACAACCTCTTTGAGTGAGTGTGTGCGCATCTTAAACTGAACACAAAGCAGAGAAGCACTGACCTTTCCCCAAGAAGTATTTAAAGTACCACCTGGTGTGGTACTCTGGATTTTCCAGATGGACATCCGTTCTCCTCCACGTTCCTGGAGTGTAGTCCGAGGGCTGATTGTGACGTGCACAAGAAGTAAACAGGCCTAAATGTTAAATTTATTTACTTAAATATATAGTTAACACATCCTAATAGGTTATCGTGGATGGATGGATGGATGGATGGATGGATGAAGGATGCATTGATGATGGATTGATGGATGGATGATGGATG